TGGTTTTCTCTCTATCTTGACACATAAAGTAATACTTATTCACCTTATGGAGATGCTACCTGATAAGCAAAGGTCATCTCGGTCTTAGCACGTTAAACAGTTTACTGCCACCTGATATTGGTCGCTGCTCAAATTAATTTCTGTTCAGTGACTTAAAGCCAGAGATGGCTATGATTAGGTACCTTACTCTAACTACACTTTTTACCTATGTTTGGGTAGTATTGTTTTAAAGTCAGGTTACATATATCTCCATACAATTGCTAGCATCTCCACCCACCTTGGATCATTTCACTGTTAGTCAATCACCATCACATTTCAGACAAACACAGAATGTAACTCAATTTTAGGTAAAGTGATAATTAAGGCAATTAAATACTTAGATCTGCCCTGTGATAGACTGGTTACCTGTTCAGAGTGTACCCTGTCTGGGATGGATGAACGGATGGATTGTTTGATGGAATGATGTATGGATGGATGTATGGATGGATGGATGGATGGATGGATGGATGGATGGATGGATGGATGGATGGATCGATGGATTTATTGCTTGCTGGATGGATGGACAGATGGATGGATGGATGGATGGATGGATGCTGGATCGATGGATTTATTGCTTGCTGGATGGATGGACAGATGGATGGATGGATGGATGGATGGATGGATGGATGGATGGTGGATGGATTGATTGATTGCTGGATGGATGGATAAATGGACACGTGGATGGATGGATGGATGGATGAATGGATGGATTGATTGATTGCTGGAGGGATGGATAAATGGACAGATGGAAGGATGGATGGATGGATGGATGAATGGATGGATTGATTGATTGCTGGATGGATGGATAAATGGACACGTGGATGGATGGATGGATGAATGGATGGATTGATTGATTGCTGGAGGGATGGATAAATGGACAGATGGATGGATGGATGGATGGAAGGATGGATGAATGGAGGGATGGACAGATGGATGGATGGATGGATGGGTGGCTGGATGCTTGGATGGATGGATGGCTGACTGGCTGAATGGCTGGGTGGATGGATGGATGGATGGACAGATGGATGGATGAATGGATGGATTGATGGACAGATGGATGGATGAATGGATGGATTGATGGACAGATGGATGGATGGATGGATGGACAGATGGATGGATGGATGGAAGGACAGATGGATGGATGGATGGATGGATGGAGGGACAGATGGATGGCTGGATGGACGGACATGTGCATATGTGGGTTTGGCTGTTTCCATTATCTGTTTTCTACAGGTGCTTTTATTTGCCCCAATGTATAATTTTATTTAGTTTGAAATGTCAGAACTTGATCATTATTTTTGCATGACATTGTAATCACAACTAGCAAAGTGCCACTCACTTCACTTAACACTATTTTTACTCTTATATTTTATATTGAGATACTTCAATATCTTCCTGTGTATCATTAGTGTGAAGAAATGCCAGCTTTTCACCAGCCATGCATTTTGAAACACATGTTGGATTAAATCTCCTTTGCTTCCAATTTACATTTACAGCACTCAGCCCTGTTACTCAGTAGGATTTATTTTTATGGAATATTATTAAATATATGTAATTGTGGGACTTCTTAATGAGTTGTTTATTTTAAATGTATAAAATATAATAACAATAATGGTAATAAATGTTTTCAACATTATTTTGTAAAGAAAGTAATAAGCAGCCTGACCCTTGACAAAAAATTTCTAAAGCGCTTGAATAAACTCAGATATTCAAATATTTGTACATTTATTACATGTAATATTGATTTCATGGTTCTAATAATACATTTTCTCTGCTCAATTCTTTTTCTTCTAACATGTTGTTTCATCCTTGAATCTCTTCAGGCACATAGAAGCGTACATCATCTGACATCGGCAGACCTGTCACTTAGACCACATTAAGTTAAGCTGGCCTGTAAATCAGCCGTGACTTGACAATAGCTGTCTCTGAAAGCTGAAGACTTCCCACCCAGCTATGTATACTCTGTGAAATTGTAGCATTCCAGTAGCTATGCGACCTTTAATGGCCCGCATTAGCCATTCAGACATGTTTACATGATTTATTGTGCACTAATCGCTGTAGGACATCTAATTAGATCATTACACAGAGACTTCATTCATAAACAGACTAATTGGAGCTAATGAAGAAGGAGCTAGATTCTGTGAGTTTTACCAACTGGGGCTGTCCAAGTCGAGTGCCTCCTAAACTGACAAGTCAACGCTTTGTTTATGTTGGAAGGAGATGGATCAGGCATGACCTCTCAACCCATTTCCTCAGTGGGTTCCTTGTGGGGGGTGTGGGGGCTTGAAGAAACAAGTCACTGCCACAATGGAATGGCACACACATGTGCAACGGTGGAAAGGAAAGCAAAATGCCTCAAGTTTAACAAGCACAGACAGAGCAATTTGTTCTCATTGGAAGGTCCAACCCTGCCTAAATGTGATTATAAATTTAGGAAGACACAAAGTTAGTCTTTGTAAACTGTTTCTAATGCCTACCAGGTGGCTCTACCTTCTCAACTTCAAGTATATATACAATTTATTATGCTATTTATCTATATATTTTTTGTTTAAATTATTTGTTATTGTTGTGGGTAACTGTAAACTAAGAGGAGAATTATATGTTGTTTTAACACTCGTTTACTCCAACATTCAGGCAGATATTCTTTAAACTAAATTTAATTTGATTCAATCTTAAACAGATCTTTCTTTAAAACATATTTTTGAACAGTTCAATCAGAATACCTTTGTTTTGTAGGCTACTGGAATTATAAAAACAATCAGAGCAGATTAAGCCAAATGAAATATATAATTGAAGCAGATTCATTTTCTAAATGCTTTTTTAGATATAGCAGGTAGAATAGAACCTAATTTTCTTAGGAATTTGCCACAAGGGGGCAGCATATGTTAGAAATCTGTTTTCACAGTGATCCAATGCTCTTCTCTAAAGTTTGATTCTAGTTTATTTCTGTAGTTCCATTATGTCTTGTCATTGTTTTTTTTAGTTTCAATCAATCTAAAAACAGACATATTTTCTTTTAAAAGTGAGACAAAAACAGGCCCACCAGAGGTGCGCTTGTTACCACTGGACAAAAAACTACTTCAAACTTCGAAGCTCTGCTGACTGACAGTCTTTTCCTGCTGAAGATAAACGGACCACACACTGCTCGGGCCGTAATTACCTTTCCACACACCAGAGAGGGAGTCAGCCAGCCAGTTACAAGCATGTCCCTCTTGTCTGACATCTTAATTAGATGCCTAAGGCATAAAGGGTTACAATGTAAATAATATATCCTATTTGGAGTAATTTAATCCTCCACCTAATGCATCCCAAAATAAACAGGGAATATAAGTTTCTTTATTTTTGGAACCTTTAATTTCACCAAAAGCAAACCATAAATCTGGACGGCAAGAAATAAGTTCCCCTAGTATTTTTACACCTGTGTGAAAAAGTAGCTTGGGGTTGTTTAACTCAGGAATGCAGCTTTTAACAGGAGACAGTTGAAGAATAGGTAAAACTGAAAAAGGAAAACCACCTCAGAGATGTTTTTAGTGGCCATAAAGTTAACGCCTACAACTTACGTTGTTAATAAACAAAAAAAATGTATCTGTTATAATGACTTGAAACACAACTCACACTTTTGCAAGAAAGAACCAGTAAAATATCCATTTAAATTCTTTTTATTTTCAAAATAAAGTTTTCTATCAAAGTGGCAATTATACATATTTACAGTCTTGTGAAATTACATATACAAATATACAAAGTATATACAGCAATAATTATATAAATACACTCTATACGTGCTGATGCAACCCGTATGAGGCAGCTTTAAGGCAATGATGAATTGTTGTAGAAAAACAGCTCAGCTTTGGCCTCTCTTTAAGCAGAGAGCTCCTATTGTGGATGTTTAAGACACAGCGGTTCTTCACAGTAGGAAGAAGAAGAGCCCCAGGTATACCATGTAACCAGGGCCGGCCTGAGGAATAGCAAACAATGCATATGCTAAAGAAACCTTTCTAGCTGGAAGGTTGTGGTAATGGTCTTAAGCTATTTAAAGCATTTGTGCTGCTAGAGTTTGAGCTGGAAATAAACTGACATAAATGCAAGTGAGAAAGCGATTAAGTGACAGAAATAACTTCCTGTTCTTTAATCACTGATATGACGTATTGTGAAATGGTGCTATTTGAAAAAAATTAATTAAGGCAATAAAGGAAAATAATCTAATATCTTTGTTTTCCTGCTTTGACACAGCAGTAAATGCTTTTTAAAAGCTTTTTGATTGCACAATAAAAAATGGATGCATTAGTGTTAAAGCAGTTCTTCACATCATGGATATGGAGCAATGGTCTCTAGCAGGTCTGACTGATAATCTGAAAGCTGCTGCTAAGAAAACCTAAAAAAACAACGATGACTGACAGCAGATTTCTGCAAATTAGTTTTCTTTTCTGGTTTTGCAGTAATGCTAATTTTATATAGCATGAATCCAGCTGGCTGCATCCATTCTTTCTGAGCAACATAGGGTTGTTTGTTGTTTTTTATTTATCCTTTTTTATGATGCAAAGCTGCTGCTGTAACATTAATTCATTTCTAAAGGATAAGATTTTAAAACTTTGAAGAAGTCTCTGTAGTTTAAAAAAATTCTATTACATTTGTGTTTAAAAAGCAAATCATATGAAGTCAATTTAATTAACTCAGTTTGTTGTTTAACAATATAACAGCTGTATGAAATGCAGAATGCAAAGAATGGGCGAAAAAAGAAATATCACATGGACCATAATAAATGGGGGTCAGTGGTGCAGATGTGGGACAATCTGCTGAGCTTTTTAACCTTTAGGCAGCAGCCTGCTGTCAAATACACAGAGTCAAGCTCACCACATGTGTCTAAGCAGACTTTTCTTATCTGTCACAAATTAATTCTTTACAAACTATATGGATATTTTTTAGAAAACCTATAAAATTACCCAATTACCCAAAATTACCCCCTGTGAAGTTATTAACCCATCTTCAGTAGGAGAAGTCAAGCGCTCTGTTGCCCTCCAAGCCCTAAACTGCTTAATTTGCTTGTGCCTCTGGCCGGCTCTGGCAATATGCATTCAATTAATCCTACATAAGGCTGCATTCTTCGGGGCAGGTACTGCATTGTTCTGCTGCTGCTGACAGGCTCATTATTTAAAGAGAAACCATTAGGCGCCCATTATTGTGCTAATTACAACACACTGACGGACAATCCTAACACAATTGGTCCCCCCCCTCCTTAAACCCGTACATGGACGTCATTTGGATAAGGCAATAAAAGCTTGCGCTCCAACTCATTTAAGAAGTTTTTCAAAACACAAAAGGGCCAATCTGTCTTCTTTGTACCTTAGTTTCAATAATTTATCTCATAAAAAATATTTAAAAGAGCTGCTTTTACAGTCTAAAGACAGAGGAGACATTAACGCGTCCGTGCGCCCTCGACAGCCCGCCTGACCTGTTCAGACTCGGGACAGAGGCATTTGTTTGGGGCAGGAGACCGAGCTGGCAGTCCCGGATCTCCAGGTCAGTCCGGTACTCACATCACTGTACATGGAGCCAGCTGACGCTTTGCTCCCCCAGCAGCAGCGTGTGCAAAAAGTCCTCCAGGACTCCAATGTCTTCCCGGACCAGATCCAGGCCCCCGAGGTGATCCCCACCAGGAGGCACATGAAGTATTTCAGCATGAACACGGCATAGTCCGGTCTCTGCCTGCTGCGGTCCGTTACGCACGTACAGTTGTGCGTAATCTCCCACGTCTGCCTGTTGTGCTGCTCATAAAAGTAACAGGCCACTATGACCGTGGCCGGGACGGTGTAGAGAACCGTGAAAACTCCGATCCGGATCATGAGGCGCTCAAGTTTGTCAGTCTTGGTTCCGCCTTGCTTTATAACGCTCCGGATGCGGAACAGCGAGACGAACCCTGCGAGCAGGAACATGGTTCCGATGAACAGGTAGATGACCAGCGGGGCGAGCACAAACCCCCGCAGGTTATCCAGGTTTTGATTCCCCACGTAGCAGATTCCAGCCACAGAGTCTCCGTCCACCGAGCTGAGCGCCAAAACAGTTATGGACTTGAGGCTGGGGATGAGCCAGGCGGCCAGGTGGAAGTACTGGGAGTAACTGGCGATAGCCTCGTTCCCCCACTTCATACCTGCTGCCAGGAACCAGGTGAGAGACAGAATCACCCACCAGATGGAGCTGGCCATGCCGAAGAAATAAATGAGCAGGAAAACGATGGTGCAGAGCGCAGGACCCGTCGTCTCATAGTGGATGTGCTCTGCGCCGTTTTCCCTGTTGCACGCAACTTCCTCATGTCCGGCGATCAGCCTGACAATATATCCTACCGACACAAACATGTAGCAGGCAGAGAGGAAGATGATGGGCCGCTCCGGATACTTGAACCTCTCCATGTCTATGAGGAAAGTTGCAACTGTTGCAAAAGTGGAAATGAAGCAGAGGACCGACCACAGGCCGATCCAGAAGGCGGTGAAAGTCCTCTCCTCCTGGGTGAAGTAGGGATTGTGACAAGGCATGGCGCAGTCGGTGATCTGTCCCGTCTTGACGCGGTTGCGCATAGGGTGGCCCTCCGCACTGAGTGGCACCATGGGCGCACGGCAGAAGCAGCCCGTCTCGCAGGGAGACGCGGCGGGTTTGTGTTTGCCGGGGAAACCTCGGCCGTAGCCGCTCTTTTTCTTATTATATGGCTTCAGCGACCGGTTGGTAGGTTTGACCAGGACGGGAGATGCGGTGGTGGTCTGGCTCCTGTTATAGTCCATGCACAGAGTGTTTTGGTCCCCCTGCTCGGGCAGCAGGTCGCACCTCATCCGGTCCGGCCACGGGAAGCCGTACTGGCTCATGAGCGGCGCGCACCCAGCCTTGGCTCGCTCACACACGCTCCTGCACGGCGGCAGCGGCTTCTTGTAATCCTCCAGGCAGATCGGTGTGTACATGCTGCAGAGGAAGAAGCGCAGGTCCGGGGAGCACTTTATCTCCACCAGCGGCCAGAACTGGTGAACCTCCAGCCCGGCTTCATCCTGGGTGTCGTGGTTGAACTGGTTTGGCATATAGGTGAAGTTGTAGCCGATCCCTTTGCAGAGAGGAACCGATATCTCCTGGCACTGGAGCTCCTTGGCCGCCTTGCAGCGCGTTAAGTACAGGATGAGAGTAATCAGGACGCACCAAGCCGGGATGCGCGCCTCCATCGCTGCCTTCTGTGCGCAAACACTCCAGGACAAAACTGACAGGAAACTTGCGCTCAGCAAGAAAGTCCAGTTAATCAAAAAACTCTTTCAAACTCATGCTAAACGCCAGGAGGAAGTCAGTGACACTTCAGTCCATATGAATCCAAACGGAAACCCGTTACTGTCAAACAACCAGGGGACTCTGACTGTCTGCCTGTGCTCTGCGCGTCTCTGCATGCTCTGTGGCTGACAGGCTGGTTACTATTTATATGAGGGGGAAGAGGACACTCCCCCCGCAGGGACAGGGAGGGAGTTCAATTCAATCAGGAGTTCCCTCTATAGGTGTTTGCCTTAAAATGTAAACCCTGGAGGAAAGGGTTAGAATCCCCCAATCCTTGTTTACCATACGCAGAAGGCTTTGCAAGAAGGGTGTGCATGTTAGTGTGCGTGATGGGTCTGGAAAAGGGTTATTGGTTACAATGGATGCATTATGAAGGAATGCAGTTAGGCATGTTAATTGTTAGCAGGAAACTAATAGGTCAACTGATGGAGCTTTTTAGGTCAGCAGAACAAAACAATGAGGTTGCATCAGAGCAACACTCATGTGTATTAAACAAGAGGAGACAAACAGCCCACACTCTGCTGAAATGTATTGTTCCCATTGTTTCTAAACACCCCATTTTTTTGGAAAAAGCAACAATTTTAAACACATTTATGCATCTATTCATTTATTTATCATTTAAATATGAGTGAGTTTTCCATGATTCGTAGAATCTTATGAAAAAAATAGGAGAAAATGTTTAGAAATGTTCTTAAAAATTACCTGAACGACAACAAAACAACGCAGAAATTTAAAACTATGAAGATATTTTACATTTTAATTGCAATAATCAATATGCACTATATTAAAAGTAAAAAATAAAGTATTTTATTCTTTGAATCCATTTGTATTTTACCACAAAAGTTGATAGATTTGAATTGATTAGTGACAAACAAGCATAAATATGAAGTACATGGAACCCTCTCTACTTGCATGTAGATATTTTTTTTTGCATGATTCCCAGGGGAGGGTGTTATGTTGTTCATCTTTTAAAAGCAGGTGGGTTAACCAGTCCCTTTGTGGTTCAACAGGGAACATTTGCAAACTAATGTTTTATGCAGCCCCCCCGTTTAATTTGCTGATAAGTTTGACAGAGTACAATCTATTCACCGTTTGTCAGTAAGTCATTCTGAAACGAGGAAGCACAATGACTCTGTCCATCACAGAGACCTCCTGCCTCCTTTGGATGTCTGACAAAGTGAAAACATACATGTAGCCTTGGAGTTGGATGTATGTGTGAAAGAATGAGACAATGTGTCTACATGTTGATGTGTATGGCTGCTTGTCAGAAGCTGAATTAAACAGAGAATTACTGTGTGTGTGTCAGAGAGTGAGGTTTGTAAGGGCTTGTGAGCCCACAGCAGGGGTCCGACTTGCTCTCAAAAGGAGGGGGCTGTTTGTCTTAACGCCGCTGCCAACGTTTCACTAAATGCATGCTGGGTCGCAGATTACCGCGTCACACCAACCGCCTAATAAACAGGACTATGTGTTTGTGTGTGTTAACAGTTTCAGAGCTCAGCCCTAATGGAAATAAGCTAACATGGGCAGATACTGCATTGTGATTGCACTAATTAAAGTCATTCGCACTTCTTATTGGATTTAGCAGCTTCAAATGGAGCTAAGACAGTTTGGCAGACAGGCAGCATGTTTCCAATCCACAGGTTTTATCACAACTAATTAGCCCCCGAACTCCTGCATTTATAAAAAGGGTAGATGCTTAAGCTCAGGTTGGGGTCTCATAATGGTGGTTTTTCTGACAAAATTACTAATTCAGGCAGTCACAAAGATGAGGTAACCTCCTGTAAAAGAACTTCCTCCTGACATGATTGATATGTATGAAAATGATTTGGTCAGAAAGAAAAACCCCTTAGTATTTATAGAAAGATTGAATCAGAAAAACTAAAATCTTGATAAGCTGATGATTTTATGGCACTTATCATCCAAAAAAGAGACATTGGTAGGTTTTTTATTATTTTATTTTTATTATCAGAACCTATTCCCTGTTTTCTAATTTAAATAGCTGGAATACAAATCTTTACCATCCCTCCCAGACCCATAGGAGGATAGAATTTGCTTCAATTGATGCTGAATGTTTAACTTTGTATCACTAACATCCATTTATGCGTACGACTTAAAAGAGGTTAATTTAAGTTTCAAAGATGAAAGTGGAAAAAAACTAAAATATATTTAACTGATTCATAAAGTTATTTAAGAATAATTTATATAATTATATCCATTCTGCATGGATTATCGATGTGATTCCAATTTATTTTCCATAGTTTCTGTTATCCTCTATCATAGATAAATAGTTCAGTAATAACGATTCAGTTACTTGAAGCTGAAGCAATTCTTTTAAAATTAAAGCTGAATTTTCTTTTCAGAGTGTGGTGGCATTATTTAAATGGATACTAATTAGTTCTGAACATTGAGAGTGTCTGAGTAGTAACTGCTTAAGCAGACTAGTTAGTTATTGAAACAAAACGGGAGCAGAAGCTTTACCAGAAAAAAAAAAATGTCAGTCTTTCCAACTGCTGCTGAAAACTTTTTAGTCTTTTAGGAAAGCTGTTGAAGTGAAAAAATGAGCCAGTCCATCAGATCATGATCATCTGCATTCCTTATCACTCTCTCAAGTTTTTGTTAAGTTGATTCCATGGAAGCTAATCTCACATAAATATGACAAACTAAATAATTTCAAATCAATACATTTTTAATTCTGCATAAGTAGTCAGTAAAAAGAACTCTAAAATAAACAAAAACGTTGGTTTTAAAAGATGAGCACTTCCCTCAAAGGTTGACATGAATGTAGATGCTGATGGAAGGAGCACAGCTTTAGAAAAAACACACCTTACAAAACATCTGTTTCATTTTTCTTTTAAATTGCTACTCAATGCTTTAAAAAATGGTGGATTAAAAAAAAAATCTAGATGGAGCAAGAAACATACCGAGGCATCCATCTAATCTATGTCTTTTATCCTGACAGATTAAACGGACAAAACCTTAGACATGTTCATCTGAACTAGTTGTGTTGAGGCTGGCGTATGATTTACTTTGGGCTGAGTTGTAGGATTCAGGTGAAACTCATAAGAAACAGGTGCCTCCGTCTCCCATCAGGGCCAGCTAAACAGCAGAATGAGCATCAGTTACACCAATCGCTGTCTGTCGGACTGGAACCCGTATTGATTAACAAGGCTGATAGACTCGGTGGCCCCAGCCACCAACTGTCGACTACGCCTCCTGCCTTCTGTGTGCAACGGGGATAGTGGGTTTAGGGTTACGCACTGGCCCCCTGCATACCAAATTTAAAAGGGTGGAAATGGAATTACTGCATCTGCTTAGAAGTCGATTTCTACATTCTAGAGGCTGACCCTGACTACTATACTCCTTTCGTGCTTTCCCACCCGATCGTACTCCAGATTCTCCCAGGGCTCTCAGTGTTGCTGATGCCAAAGGGAAAAAAAAGGTGGGTGTGTGGGGGTGTTTCTTACAGAGTCACTGAGGCATGCTGTGAAACTCTGAAATGTTTTTTCTTTGTATCCTTCTCATGGAAAGTTTGGCCGTCTCACAAACTCATAGCCATTGTTTTTGTTATGATGTGCAAATATATCTGATGATTAGTATTCATTAATGCTGACTTTTGCTCCAATGGGTGAGATGCCTTTGTCAGTCACAAGAGGGTCTAAAGCAGTCTTGGGTGAATGCAGGACTCTTTAGAGGATCTCTAGAGACTCTGTAGTGACATTTTATGTTAAAAGGAAATCTAATGATGCTGCTGCACATAAGCAGGTAAAACACTGAATGCTGGGGTTTTAATGAAAGACATATATAGATCTTAAAAATCCTGGTAATTGGTAAACCTCTGCTAAACAGATTAATGTAATGAGAATGGTTTTATTTACTGTAAAGATTATAAAATAAAAGCACCCTGCAACCGACTGCTGACCTGTCCAGGGTGTAGCCGGCCTTGCGCCCTTAGACTGTTGGAGATAAAAAACCATCCACGGTTTTCCTCACTTATAAAAGTGAAAGCAACAGAGCATCACTTTTACTTAAAAAAAACAGTCGAAGAAATATTACAGGAATACTTGTTCTGTATACCATCACATTTTTGCCTACCACTCCCTTCTAAACTTTAAATGAAATGGAAGATAAATTGTTCTCAATGCGACCTTATCCTCCATCATTATGACTGGCTGGGACTGGCTGGATGTGCTCTCTTCGTCCTCTGGCATGGGAGCTGCCTTGGAGCTCGTCTGCCTGGCTGTGTGTTTCCTGGAAGGCGGCCGCCTTTTGCAGCCGCTTTTTGTGTCTCTGCTTCTGTCTCCTTGAACCCCAGCCAGCCTCTGTAGATGGCCGCTCACACTGAGCCTGGTTCTGCTGGAGGTTTCTGCCTGTTAAAAGGGAGTTTTTCCTCTCCACTGTCGCTACAAGCATGCTTAGTGTGAGGAATTGTATTTGAGTCAATGAGTCTATGCAATCAACTGGTTTTCCTTAGATAGAAAACTTTGAATCAATTTGACTGTGTGATCTGGTTGAACTGTAAAGTGCCTTGAGATGACATGTGTTGTGAATTTAGCGCTATATAAATAAACTGAATTGAATTGAATTATGATGGGATACATTCTGAAATAAATAGTTAATTTCACATACTTCTTCAAAGTCAAATCATGTTTTGAAATAAAAGATGCAACTAAATATGTCATTGTTTACAGATTTATTAGATAAAACTCAAATATTCATGTAATGGTACAGTGGATGATGTTTATCAATATAAATGGTCCTCCTAATTGTCAATAATTCTCGTGACATGTCTACGTAAGGCTGTCCTACGTGCTTATCCCCATTTTCCCTTAACCGTGATGAGTTTGACATAGTGGGACAATTGCAAATCTTCTTTTGAAAAGTAAGTTTGTATGAGAGATGCAAAAAGCCACAAGTAAACAGAGCATGCACGAGGAGAAATAGGCTCATGCATTCTCTCGCACGCGTTTAATAGACGTTCCCTTTTGGAAGTGGGATGTAAAAAATGCATGTGCATTTTTTTTTAAATGGAGCGGGCGGGTCTTATAAAAAACCTCACAAAAATCCGCCACTATACCTTTAAGGCAACTTCAATAATATGTAGCATTAGTGGGAATACCTGGTTTTAGATT